TTTTAAAAAACTTATAACGAAAATTCTCTAATAACTGGAGTACTACTTAAAGCTTACATCTGAAACTGGCGGAAATAGAAGAAAAAATGCACTTAATCAATCACAATTACCCTTATCATTCAAAAGTTACAGATAATTCTGCAAGAACGTCTCGAATAAATAAAAATTAAATTCCCGGGGCAAATATTTTCGTCAAGTGTAGCGAATAAACTGGCCGGAAGTCGTCTGAGTTTTGAAAGAAAAAATAAATAAATGTCAAAATAATGTCAACTAAACGACAGTTTAAACTTAACTTTGATTGGGAGGTGCATAATAAAACAAATACTGAATGATCAGGAGCTGGATATGGCCAGAATACCTATCCTCGAAAAAATATTGGGCTCGGCTTCGCCCAATATTTTTTCTCGAATAGGTATTCTGCCATATCCAGCTCCTGATCATCCAGTATTTGTTTAATATCGAACCTAATTGAAATTGATAACACAGAATATAAAATTTCACAATCAGCAGATGACACATCATTATTTATCAAAGATAAAGCATCCATAAGTGAAGCATTAAAAACTATAAAACAATTCTCAAAATATTCGGGACTTCAACTAAATCTAAATAAAACAGAAGGAATATGGCTTGGAACCAATCGTACTTTTGAAAAAAATTTGAAAATATTAATTTCACAGATGAACCTGTAAGATATTTAGGCATATATATATAGGTCACAATGAAGATAAATGTTATGATTTAAATTGGAATGAGAAAATAAATGACCTTGAAAAAATTCTTGATTCTTGGAAAAAAAGACACCTTACCTTATTTGGAAAAATCACTGTTATAAAATCTTTAGCTATATCAAAACTTATCTACTCAGCATCAATTTTATCTTTTAAAGAAGAAATTATAAAGCGAATAAACAACTTGATATTCAACTTTTTATGGAATGGCAAGAAAGACAAGATTAGGCGAACTATTATGATAAACAATATAGACAATGGAGGTCTAAATATGCTGGATCTAGAATCACAGCTAAATGCTCTTAAAGCTGTATGGATTAGCCGTATATATGACAAAAACAATATGTTTAACAAAATTCCATACTTTTATTTTGACAAACTTGCTCCAAGTTTGGATATTTTGTTAAAAATGAATGTATTTTCTAAAGACCAGCTTGAGGGATTACCTATTTTCTACAAACAAGTTTTGGAAGCATTCGATAGCTGTAAAGATCTGCATAAAATAAAAAATCTGAAACTCCATGAAATAGTCCAGCAAACCATATGGAATAACAGATTATTTCAATTAAAGGCAAACCACTTTTCTTTAAATCTTGGATAAATAGTGGTATTATTTATGTCAAAGATCTTATCATTCGAAATGAATTTTTAAATGTAAACTATATTCTAGAAAAATTGAGAAATAAAATAAATTGGATTTCAGAATATTTTCAAGTCTCAATTGCAATGAAATCAATAAAAAAAAAACATTAACATAGAACAAGCAAATTTCACAAATATATCGAGAAAACTCAATTTCAAAGTAAAAAATGTTCAATTAGATTTTAGAGGCCAAAAATCCAATTTCTTTTATAACATACTGAAGAATAAAAAATGTGAAAAATGGTTTGTCTCAAAAAATGGGAAAGAGATTTTTGTATAAAAAATCAATGTAAAATAGATGAAATAAATTGGCAAAATGTTTTTGTTAGCAAGATCATCAAAATTAAAGACAAAAAATTGCCAATTTTAATTTCAAACTAATTAATAACATACTTCCTGGGTTAACTGACTTATTTATCTATGGTATAACAAATTATTATCATTGTAGTATTTGCAATCACTTATGTGATTTGAAACATATTCTATTTGAATGTTGTTTGTCAAAGGATATATGGAAATTTATATACAACACATATTTCCTATAGAAAAATAATAATTGGTATTAATGGCCAAGACTCTCAAACTAATTTTCTGAATTATTTTACAAGTATAGTTGTTTACAGCATTTACAAATCCTACATTTTAGAACTGAATAGTAAAGAACAAAGAACATTTGAAAAAATACTTTTTATGATAAAAATATGAAATTAATTGTAGAAAAAATGTGTATTATTGTTCCAAATGGAATTTATTATCCAAACTACTGCAATGAGATTATGTAAACCTGTTTTTATAAATTATGTACTGTCTATATATTTAGTAAATGAATGAAATAAAGACTATTTAAAAAAAATAAAAAAAATACCGAACCTAATAAACAAGCAATAAAAACCACCGCTGTGCAATATATTTTAGATAGAAACAGTTTGTGTAATTTAGGTAGCTAGTTTTATGAACAGTTAACCCATGCCCTTTTGTTATTTAGAGAGTTTCGGTCTGAGGCCCAGGAATACGTTAAACATATTTTAAAAGTTCGCTTGTGTACTGAGTTGTTAATGCGTGGCCTATACATGTATAAATATCTTTTATTAGAGATTACTTACATGTATAAGAATAAGACTGATTTTTAAAAGCTTAGTGGATAAGAATAAGACTGACTTTTTTATTAATGGCAGTATACCGGGGCCTCAGGTTTCGGTCATGATGATATTTTTGAAATAACATATCGGAGAAACTTAAAAACTGAGTTGTCGAAAACTAGTTTTTAACTCACCGTTAAGTTTCAACACGATCACGAGGACGGATCTCTCCCGCATATATAGCTGTGCTGTATAGTTGAATAAATATTTGTCACCACTTGTTCTCATTTATTTTGTTTGGGACAGACTGTCATAGGCTTCAATGTTAAAAACTTTATTTCATGATTTATCAAAAAGTGTTGGTTGAATTTGTTCAAACATGAGATTTAAAAGCAATATAGAAAATCCTGCTAAAATTTCCCATCGTTTTTGTGTTTTGTTGTTGCCGATAATATATACAAGATAATTTGGAATTGATTAGCAATGTATGGTATGGTGAGTAGTGAAAATCTACCGAGGTCCATATCCCTTACTTAGATCATCATAACTTATAATCAAATGTAACTATACAGCATACACCCACATGGATGTAAGTTGCCTGTAAATTGAATATTGGTGAAAATAAAAACTACTATACAAACTGTAAATGTGGATTGTACACCCTCCATAAGTTTGGCAACCTTTTTTCCCCATTGAACTACGTGTTAAAGCCTCTTTACGTTTGAATTTTTATTTACTTCACCGGCGATGAAATAACTAATAATATTAATGGAAACGTAATTTGACTTAATTCCAATACCTCCAAATTTTCTCGATTTTTTTCCTCAATTACAATAGATCGAAAATTGATGATAAATTTGATGAATTTTTGAAAATCGTCATTCCCATGTAATCCAATGGGAAATGGAGGGTTCGGGGCAAATCAGAAATAAGGATATCTTTTCAGTAAAAGATTCAGCAAAAATATTTTTATATAGAAAATTAAATTGTCTAACTTTTTTGAACACTAAGTGATAAGTTTATTTGATGAATATTAAAGTTACAGCGCTTCAAAGTCATTTTTGAAAATAATTTTTCGCCTCTTGTGTTATTTCAATGGGAGAGGTTTTTTGAAAAACAATTTTTGACTTTAAAGCCCTAAAACTTTGTTGAACCTGAAGAAACATATCAATATTTTGTTAAATAAAGTTAGCAAATTCAATTGTCTGCCTGACTCGTATTTTTTGCAAGGACTCGGATGGATGGATATTCTGTCATATGACTTGCGGCAAACCTACCATTTCCCATTGGTTAACATGGAAATGTCGATTTTCAAAAATTCATCAAATTTATCATCAATTTTCGACCTATTGTAATTGAGGAAAAAAATTGAGAAAATTTGGAGGTATTGGAATAAAAGTCAAATTACGTTTCCATTAATAGTATAAGTATTTTCATCGCAGGTTAAGTAAATAAAAATTCAAAGGTTAAGAGGCTTTAACACGTAGTTCAATGGGGGAAAAAAGGTTGCCAAACTTATGGAGGGGAGTGTAAGTCACATAAAGGCAAATGGATATCAAATTATCAATCAGTCAAGCTAGTAAACTATCTAGATCACTATGAAACATTATGCAAATATATATATTTTTTAATATTTTTGCCCCAATGTCTAATTTTCATTTTATCTATTTATTTGCCAATACTTTTATAACAGTGGCTTGCGGATTATTGTCCAAGGCGGCTACATACAACTATACAATATGAATAATATACAAAGTCATGTATCATTTCTTTAAAACGATGTTGCATATACTAAAATAATCAAAGACATAAATCTTTGGGCTTGTTCAATTGGATTAAAAAGCGTTTTACAATGCTGTCAAATAATCTAAAATAGTCTTACCCCCATTTTGAAACAGTCTCATCACCTAGCATAAATGTCAATTTTTCAGTCAGATTACCCTTGATGAAATCAGAAAATAAATCGGGACGTTCTGTAGAAGAAAGATTCACGTTCTTCTTTAAAATGTTCACACAGCAGCAACCTATGCTGTAAGTCTTCAGGTACAGTCAAACTATAAAATCTACATTTGCCATCACTTTTGCCCCATACAGAGTTTGGCATAAATTGTTGTTTCTTGCAAGTTAGGAGCACGTAGGTTATCGAAAACAATTTTAAAGGATTCTAACGTGATTTATGACTATTTTCTGATCATGTACATGGGTGTATCTTTTAGATCCATTCAATATCTTCAAGAAAAGTATATATAATGATAATGTAGTTAATCAGACTTAAGTGATACTGAAGGAGCAATGGACCGCAGTTGAGAATGCCATATTCACTTGTATCACAAATACCGCGCAGCCATAAATGCATGCCATATTCCGAGTAACACATGGCTTGCAATAAATTATTTACTATTTAAGGTCACTAAGCAGCTGCATAGTGTATATGCTCTATGGGCATTTTAAATGGTAAAAACATGACCTCCGTTAAAGTTAACAACGATTAAACAAGTACAAGAGCTTACAAGTGAATATAGATAACAAGATGAATTAAGACAACAAGATGAATACCAATCTGGTCATTTTTGTCAATGGACAGAAGGTAAGATTATTTCAAATACTTGTTTCTTTTGCTGATGCCAGTAGATCTTTCATAATTGACTCGCAATAGTGTACTTTATAAATCTAAGGTCTATAACGATTTTATGGCCATTTTACAAAACATGCTCAAAATGCCGGTCTCGTCTCTGGGATAAACTTGAACGCATCGGGTGAAGTTGTTCTGACTACACGCTTACGGATATCTTTAAAATGGCTCTCATCTTCATTTTAATAGTCTCTTGTTTCAACTCTTTGGGGTTCATTTATCAGTCAGGTTCAGTTAGTAAGTCAACATTCGAAATTCGTATGTTCATCAATATTTACTGAGAATGGTGCTACAATTGAAGTTAACCTCTGGTTTACTATTTTCAATATACCTATCAGCAAACGGGTAAATGATAATTTTGATGTTCTGTTACATATTGGGGAAGAAATCTTTAAGATACTGTAATAAAACCCGGACCCTCTCTCTGAACAGATATGTGGTAGCGTGGCTAGAACCGGGAATATTATGAAACTAAACTTTTGGACTTGGTCTTAAATTGAGAGAATTAAATTATTTGCTTGGTCATTAAGGGAAATTTGGAATAATATGATACTGGAAGGTGCTGACACCTTTAAGTTACAAACTGGACTTAAATAATATTAAACTGTGGGAGGGGGTGATTGCAATAGAAAATGATTGAAATGGAAACTTCAACACAATTTGCACCTTGGGATTCTCAACAGATCGCAATAATGAGCTTGATATGACCCCTTAAATATATGGGCTTTAAATGAAGTTGAATCAATCTGCTGAAAATAAACAGTAGATCAAATTGACCGCTCTAGGCAAGACAACAAAGAAATTAGATTATAAGGTTTAATGATGATATAAAGCTAATATGTAAGATATAATGTAAAATATGATATATTTATAAATGAATATTTACATAATCAAAGAGTGTAGTGTCACGAAGTTACGAATAAGAAACTGTTTCTCACAACAGGACCGATCTTATTTAACTTACTCTTGATTTAAAACAACTCACTTATCCGTTCCCTAATCCATATCTACCTAGCATACAATGACACAATCTATCTCACAACAGCACAATAACATATCTACAATGACCACTGACAACTTAACCTAATTGATCGCTCAGCAATAATAGTCATATTTGATCAAACTGAACAAGGTAGAAAAAAGCAACTAAAATAAAGATCAGAACAATAACAGAACATTAATTAAGTATGTGTCATATATCATTTTAAAGCTCATCCAAAGTTACATTGATTTGCCAAGTATCATCGATCAATTTACAAATGGTAAAAAGTTACAGGCATTTCAAAACTTAGTGTTTGGCCAAAATTAAAGTTAAAATCAGTATCCTGGAAACACCGCTAACCTGAATGTGACCAAAAATATGGGTGATATCATTAAAGAGAGGATGGATATTGAGTTGTAAAAAGAGGTCGGTAAGGGCAGATACTCCAAGGAAACTCTTCTAAAATGTCTTAAAAAGGTTTTATTAGGATTATTAAATGCCATACCCCTATTTGCAGTGTATTTAAGGTCATATCTGGAAAGAATTGGTTCTGTTAACATGGCCAAGGGAGACGCGGCGACTATTCATTTTGTGTAAAACTAAACTTTAATTTTGGTAAAACAGTACATTTTGAAATGTATGTAACTTTTTCCCATTTGTGAGTTGAACCATGATACTTGGCAAATCAATGTAACTTTGGACAAGCTTTAAAATGATATATGATACATACTATGGGGACATTGTTGTATGTCTGCCTAGGGGGGGGGGCCCATACTTTCGGGACACCCTGTAGAACAATAAGAAAACTTCATAGCGAAACCCTGCTTGAGATGCTGCCATGAGTGGGTGTGGTCTGTGTCTCTGCACGTTCACACGGTCTTGAATGCACGATCGAGTCTTGCGTCTCCTTAAACAACTTTACGAATTTGATACGAACGTATTTCGTTAATTAAAATAGTTCACAGGAATTCGATCGGCAATTGTCCACTATACATCCCACACGATAATATGGTAAATCTGCAACCAAAGTCTATTTTATATCAGTTCTATATAAGCATATTCAGATCGGTCACCAATTTTAGAGGTCCATCGTTGTTTTTCTTTACTAGCAGACAATTCCTATCATCTCAACTACCTTCAAAAGTGTTAATAATCACACGGTGTATCTTGAACATGTCATACATTTCAGTGGTGGCTGATCCAACGGAATGTTTTAGCTTCTTTACTTCGTTCTGTATTTTCTTTAACTACACATGTATCTAAGCTTTAACCAAATTATAAACGGAGTTGTTGATGTAGCCATTTCGAAAAAATTAAATGACACCAAGGTTATTCTTTGACATTAATTTCTTGAATGTTCTTCCTGTGTAATGTATGAACCGGTGTGAAAGAAATGATGGTCCCCCAGGGATTATGGTCCCCTTTCTTAACGGCCCTTACTGGCCCTGATTGTGTATAGGGTAATGAGGGAAAGAGTTGTATTTAGGTCACCATATAAATCAATGGAGAGTAGGACCATAATTTGATAGGACCTCCTACCCTTTTACACTGGCTATGTTTATCAAAATGTAAAATATGTAACCCAATATAAAATAATTCTTGTATTTTTAGATTGTAAAGAAGAATGTCAGACCAGAGACAACTCTTTTACAATTTCTTAGAAAGGATTGTATCCTTTACCTTCGCTTTCCTTACATATGCCTATTTTTTTATCAAGGCCAAGTGTATATTTGGATGGCATTTTATACATTTTAAACCTTTAATAATATACTTCAAACTCTCTAATTTCTTAATTACTGTTTTGCATTAAGAGAAATATATGTTTATTGTATTTGTATTTGTTTTTGTATTTTTTTGTATAAAAACTGCCACCATTGTTTCTTACTTTGCCAGTCTATGTTTTGTATATTTGAATGTATTAACATGAATAAAGAAGAGAAAAAGAAGTTATAGATGACATTGTTTTTTATACCCAATTGTGCCTGAGAATCGCTTAAATGTGAGCATTGGATTAGCTTCAAGTCGTCATTTCATACTTCATTATTCATCCATCCCTGCCTCCCCCCTCCACCCATCCACCCGCCCACCGACCCACCCACCCATCCACCCACCGACCCACCCACCCATCCATCCAACCCACCCACCCATCCACACACCGACTCACCCATCCACCCACCCATTTGTCTCGTTTATCAATTTGTCTCGGTGACACCTATTTTCTAACCCGGTTTCTGCCTTAAATGTATTTTCTTTAATATTGAATATGTCTGTAATACCTTAAGGTGTTTATTACAATTTTGTAAATCGTAATTTATTAATTTATGCCATCAATACTGGAAAAAAAGTATACCATTGATGATAAAGCTTTAGTTTATCTGAGAATTAGAAACTACATTGTGTAATTCTAAAGTGTTTAATTATCCACTATTGTTTCAAAATACTGAACTGTATTCAGTATTCCTGTCTGGTACCAAATTATCATGTGGAGAGGGAGCCTGTGGATCTTGTACAGTTATGGTATCCAGCTACAATTCCAGCAGCAAACAAATTAGGTACTAGGTTATTACTTGAGATAGTATGGACAATCTATATGAATAAAGTATTGCTAAATAAGAACTGAAGAGAGATTTTTAAAGGATACCCACTACTCCCTCATTACTTTCAAATAGCTTCACTCAAATGTATTTTTATGATTTTTACAGGCACTACAGTGTAAATGCTTGTCTGATGCCTCTAGTAGCTGTACATGGTTTAGCTGTGACTACAGTTGAAGGGATAGGTAGCACAAAAACCAAGCTACACCCTGTACAGGTAGTCCGGGACATATTTCAAACGTGTCTTTCAAGCATCTAACAGTTCGGGTTTAGCCGATATAAATATGAGATATCAATACAATAAAAGAGGTTGTATTGTAACATATGTATATTTTTCAAGCATCTAACAGCTCGGTTTTCGCTGATATAAATGAGATAACAAAACAATAAAATACGTTGTATTGTAAAGTATGTATATTAATTCGTATTCTATGGCATGTGTTTTCTGATTCAAAAAGGAGCGCCTGGCAAAAGCATATGGCAGCCAATGTGGATTTTGTTCTCCTGGATTTGTGATGTCAATGTACACGTTACTACGCAACTATCCAGAACCTTCCATGGCTCAGATAGAGACTGCATTCCAAGGTGATCAATGGATGTGCAAGTCAAAATGCAATAACATATGAAATACAGAGTGATTCACTAAATGAAACGAATTCATTTTGAAATAACTGTTTCCATCCAGAGCACTCGCCAAAGTCATTAATATATAATTTCAGAATCTGTATAAGTCAGTTAAGGCAAGTCATTTCATCATTCTTGACACATTTATTCTAGAAACCAAGCTCTTCAAGATTGTAGGACAATTTGATTTTATACGAGAGCACATATAGACGGAAACGTTTTTCTCTCAATCCATGAAATAAAAAGTATTGAAATAGTTAATATGTAAGTATTGCTTTGATACATTTGATTTCAGGTAATCTGTGTAGGTGCACTGGCTATCGAGCTATTCTAGCTGGATTCAGAACCTTCAGTAAGGTGAATGTACATGCTTTACTATTATTTAGCAATTCTTTATATATATATGTTAATATATAGATGTTTTAACTGTATATTACTTGAAAGTGGTGAACTCGACAATTTATTCTACAAATCAATATTTCCTTAAATTTTTCCTAGAGGTTCTTAAATTGATGTTGCATCTGGTAGGAAATACTTCTATCACATACACATTCAGTTATTCAATAGTTTGATTACGTCGACAATGAATACATCATGCCTCTATATTATTTAGGAATGGACTTGTGAAGAAGGAGAAAATTGTTGTCAGAACCAAACCCTCTCTGACACTGGATACAATGTAAGTATGACTCTTTGAGTTGTCGCACTTATGTATGAGACAACTCATTTTCTCGTTAGACTTCCGGTCTCGCGAGAGTCGATGGCAGACAGCTTAAAATGGGGGATAATTGACACGGGTCGTTGAGTTAATAATTTGAGAAAACAGGTGGGAATCTATGGATAATACTTATTTTGTGGTACTATATACATTATATATTAAGGTTATTGTAATCAAAATGATAACTCCTTCATGGAAAATTCCTTTATGTTGCCACTGCATGATTACTTTATTAACAATAGCTCGAAGATAGTTATAAGCATTTAAGTTTCTCGTAAACCTTTTCGTATTATAGGCTTGTTCTAAAACATTTGATGCCAGCGAGTTTGCTGTGTATGATCCGACACAAGATCCTATCTTCCCCAGTGAACTTCAGGTGAGTAGGCAACTTACAGTTAATTTCAAGAAAAAATGAATAAATTTATTATTCTAAAAATTACACTGGGCGAATATATGTGATATAATATACATGTATATATGTATATATATGTGATATTATATACATATACATCATTTAGGATATATGAAAGTTTATAGGGATTTGATATGAACGTTGTTATCCATCCATCTTTTTACTTGAATAATAGATATCACTAATGTCATACCAGTTACTTTAGTGAAATTGAAATGATAGATTATTGTTTCATGTTTAACTTTTTTACAGTTGGATGCAACCTACCAAACCAAAAGCATCTGTTTCAAGAGTTCAAATGTGGAATGGTATCGACCTAATAGCCTGGATGAAGTGTGTCAGTTGAAGCAACAATATCCAAATGCAATTTTCACTGTTGGGGCAACAAGTGTAGGTGCGGACATGTCTAATATGATTGTTCAGATTACCCACACAAAGGCTTCATTATGATACTTTGACAACCAATTTTCTATTCTATTTCTGAGTCTGGATATAATTTATTCTCTGAAATTGATATCTAAATGAGTATTGCAATTGCAAATGCATACACGTTGCTCTTTTTCTTTATTCAGGAAAATCCATACGTAACAGTCAAAGTAAGAAGGTGTTTATTTGCCTGACTAATGTACAAGGCCTTGACAACATGACAATCACTGATGCATGTATAGAGATAGGAGCAACAGTCACACTTGCATTTCTGTTGGAATATATTGAACACCAAGCTACTGAATCCAAAGGTAAACAGATTAATGATGGAGAAGTATTTGCCGTTATGTAATTCTAGATAACATTCTTTTAGTAGATACAACATTGATTTAGCCTCCGTGCCTTTATAGTCGGATATACCCCTGACCAGACAAGAGTGAGTTTGACTTAATATTTGATTTAGCATACTTAAATCTAATTTAAAGGGCTCGCTCGTATTTGACTCATTATCATCCATGAATGATTTTATACTGTAAACAACATGTGAAATGTATTAAAAGTTCAATTTTACAATTAAGGTTTTAAGAAAGCTGGCCTGGAGTCTATCTTAGACATGTTACATCAAGTTGGTGGACACCAGTTGAGAAACGTGGCTGTAAGTAATGTTGAAAATTGATATGATACAAACGCCAATTTAAAAAATTAATTCACTCAAATAGTTGCCAGTTTCACCACAAGGTGGTGTACTTATGTCAGATAAAATGCCAAGCATAATTTATACGGAGGTCTTGAATTTGATATCATCCCGGGATATCATTTTGACCGAGTTTAAATGTGTGTAGTAACATTGGGGATCAACCTCTGACATCTGTTCACTGATTACAACAATCAATATTATGTATCTCCAATGTATTAGTGAGTCGCATTGTAGAGTGTTGGTAGCACCATTGCAAGCGGAGCATAAATCTCTTACATATGTACAGCGATGGTAGCTATGTATCTCCAATGTATTCTTATGTACAATAGTGCATCGCATTGTAGAGTGTTGGTAGCACCATTGCAAGCAGAGCTACCTATATATGTATCTCCAATGTATTCTAATGTACAATAGTGAGTCGCATTGTAGAGTGTTGGTAGTAACATTGCAAGCAGAGCACCAATCTCTTACATATGTACAATGATGGTAGCTATGTATCTCCAATGTATTCTTATGTACAATAGTGCATCGCATTGTAGAGTGTTGGTAGCACCATTGCAAGCGGAGCTACCTATATATGTATCTCCAATGTATTCTAATGTACAATAGTGAGTCGCATTGTAGAGTGTTGGTAGTAACATTGCAAGCAGAGCACCAATCTCTTACATATGTACAATGATGGTAGCTATGTATTTTCAATGTATTCTTATGTATAATAGTGCGTCGCATTGTAGAGTGTTGGTAGTAACATTGCAAGCGGGGGATCTACATCTGACATCTGTACAATGATGATAGCTATTGGAGCAAGAGTGGATTTATATAATGTATCAAGTAAGACATTTTAAGAGCTATGGTAAATTATCTCATTTGCTCGGCATTAGCTAGACAAAAATCCAAATTAAGGCAGGTCTAACCAATGTATCCCCCATACTTAAAATCAAATTATCCGGCATTTGGCACATTTTCAAGGTGCTTTGGATTTTTACAAAAAAAAACTTTGAAGAACTTTGAGTTTTTAAGTGTGGATTTTTACTAAACTAAACCAAATCTCCTTTTTTGCTGTGCTTTCACATAGACAAATCTACCGAGAGGAGAACTGTGTCAGATTTGCACAAAGACGATGGAACGTCCGCTTTACAACCCAGTGACTTGATTACTTTTGTATATATTCCATTTATGGAAAACGTGAGTTCAATTTATTTATCCAATTCATTACAACGTAAGTTTTTTTTATTATGGTTTTCTTTCTCACAAATCAATTGGCTGCGATGTTTGTTGAGATGTTTGTTGGTCGTATTGTTTTCTGTGTTTTATTGTTCATTGTATACGACCATTTATCCACACTGCACACAAACAACAATTGGTGATATTTGGTCAGGATATTATAATTTTTATTTTCAGTGTATCATTTTTAAGGTAACTGGAAAACTCAGCAGCTTGGCAACTCATTCCTTGACAACACAACCCACAGAAAACTTAAATCTGGACAACCCCCAGAAAACTAAATCATTCCTTTGACTCATTCCCTTTACAACTCTACCACACAATGCATGCTTACGTGAAAAGTAAGGTGCTATGGTAAAGTTATTGAGTCAAACCCGAAGCACTACTTTGTGTTCATGTTTATATTCAGACAAAGAATGTAATCAGCTTATGGATGCACATTGTCTGATGGTTAGTACAATGTTTTTCTTTTATTCAAAACTGATTAGAATCTTTATATTAAAGGGAATGACAAAACTTGAATAAATAACAAAGGATGAGTTGTCCAGGAAATGAGTTTTCCAGGGGTTGAGTTGTGTAGGGGATGAGATGTTAAGGAATTGAGTTGTTTAATGGTTGAGTTGTCAGGAATAAGTGGTCTAGGGGTTGGGTTATATCTGAAAGCATTTTTATCTTATAGGACGAATATCTATATTGGCACAAACATGCAGAAAGGACCGACTTGAACTATGCCACTGTGAACTCTGCAATGAGAGTGAAGCTTGATCCTGATTCAAACACCATCAAGGATTTGGTTTTATGCTATGGTGGTGTTGGACATGGAAGTATTGTCGCTACGCAAGTTAGGGAAAAGACAGTTGGAAGGTAATTCTTACATTACTAGCATGACCATTAGTATTGTAGTAATGGTTTCTATTGAATATTACTAATATTCTTATGTATTTTCTTATATAGGGCAAGACTTATTAAGTATAGTCGACAGTAACGTTCAAAGTATTAAAAGTGATAAGTATGACAAAACATGAATTCCAAAATACGCAAAAAGACAAATTTACTAAGTATTATTAAATTAAATTTTTTTTTGAAATAATCAAAGTGTAACACCAATGTTTTTTTGTGATTTAGAGAATGGGCAGATGATTTGGTGGCATTCGTGAGTGGTCTCCTGGGAGAGGAACTTAATGTAACATTGCCCCCTGTTGGTGGAAGCACCAACTACAAGAGATCTCTGACAGTCGGCATTTTCTTCAAATTGTTCTCTAGACTTCAGTCAACTCTTCACAATATACAGGTAGAACTATTCATGTTTTTAATCTTAGCCAACCATAGTAATTTGCTATCCAGAATGAGAAAGATTGCAACCGAATTTATTGTGTACATTCATTATATTAGATAATCATTTGAGTAGTCCAAGTTTAACAAATAATCCAATTTAATTACACTCTATTTAACTTAGTAGAACTCGTTTTATTTTGTTTAAATCTAATTTGCCTTATCGAGATTCATTTTCAATAATCATTGTCATTAACTTGACTTTTTCATTGATTATTGTTTAAAATGGATGTAGACCGATTGTGTTTGATGTTTCCAGAGTAAAATTGTTCACGATATGTCAAGTGTAAGACAAAAAACATTGAGTAGTGCAAGTCAGATATTTGAGACTTTGCCCATTGACCAGGATGGAATCGATCATGTGGGTCAACCAGTTGTACATAAATCTGCCCTCCAACAGGCAAGCGGGGAGGCTGTTTACTGTGATGATATTCCTACATACAATAGTAAGTATATGTAACTAGTTGCCAAGATGACTCACTTGGGTTTCATTTCTGTCAGTCTTATAGATCAACGTCACAATAAGTAACATACATGTGTTGCTTTATATGTTCATACAGATGAGCTTCACATTGCTCTGGTAATTGGGAACAGAGCCCATGCAAAGATACTTAGTATTGATGCCTCTAAAGCCGAGAGAATGCCTGGTGTTAAAGGCTTCCTAAGTTATAAGGACATACCGAATCAAGTACATGGAAATATAACAACAGAATTTATATTCGCCAAAGACAAGGTATATTCACCATCATATTATATTCTTCCAGTAATACAAAATATACGTTTTTCTTTTCCGGGGAAGGGGGGGGGGTCCATTTGAGTCTGGATATACAGAGTGACATTAAAATACCACCCAATAATTTTGTATATACCACATATGCTGCGCTAGGCTGATAATCATATGGTCCACAGCATATCCAAAGAGAACCAAACTGTTAATTGTCTTGAATAAACGTTTTACTTTAACTTACGCACATTATTTATTTTCCTATTTGAATCCCCAATTCAAGGTATTGTACCATGGTCATACTATTGGTGCTATCGTAGCAGATACACTAGAACAAGCTATGGCAGCCAGGCAGTATGTACATGTAGACTATGAAGACCTTCCAGCTGTTATTGAATTGGAGGTACGTGATACTGGGTAACCTTGTGAATAACGGAACAATCGTTAATACATATATGTGCAATGAGATAAGCCTCTAATAAAGGTCTGGGTAATATTGCACACAGATATACTGTTGGAAAAAAATGTAAGGGATCGAGTTGACACATATCTATATCATTACAATTTATGTAAATGTCAATCAATCATATGTACTTCTCCCAACTTGTAAAGCCCATTAAAAGAATTGATCACTTGTAGACTATTGGAAGCAACCAATATAAATGTCCCCCTTACAAGCTGAATTACATTTTTGAAATTCAAAAATCTAAAAAGCAAATGAATTATATGATTTTCATGTCTAGAATTTATTTTATAAATATGTTTAGACGGCTATTAGTGAGAAACTCTACCTACCAAATCCAAAGGTGTTACAAGCAGGAGATATGGAGCTTGGATTCAAAGAATCTGATTTGATATTTGAAGGTAATTATTGTCAATGATTCAAGCTATCATTTAATTTCAGAGATACGTATGAAGCTAATCCTTTAAGAATTTACTCTTCTGGGAACAATGTTTGTTCAAAGTGATTATAAATTCACACATAGCTAGGCAAGGCCAATCCGAACACAGTATTTCACATATAAACCAGTGTGTGAAATAATCAATATCACACCCAAGGTCACTAGTTGTCATGGTAATGCATGCATCATGCGGTCATGCAAAGATTTGGAAACAACATCTCCATGGAATGGTTCAGCACACAATGCACTCCAAGGCTTAAATCCTTAAACACAACTATTGTTACAACTATTTTCAACTGTAAAATGAATTCCTCGGATTGGTCAGTTGTTGTGTTGTACCAGTCTGTATTGGGACCTGTCGCCTTGTATTGATACAGGATTGATCCTTAGCAATACAGAAACAATTGGCACGGAGGGAACAATTTCAGTAGCAAAACAAGTTGCCTTCATAAAGTATAAAGTGTATACATTAATTGAATTAATGGTTTAAAAGCAAGTCAGAATATTTTCTAGGGATTGGCTATATATTATCTCGACTTTGTCTCGTGCCAATACAGAATTTCTCGCAAATTGTATTGTAGGGGAAATATCTATGGGATCGCAAGAGCATTTTTATATGGAACCACTGTCCAGTATTGCACTTCCTATTGGAGAGGCAGGGGAGATAGATATCACCGTAACATCACAAAGTCTCATCGATATTCAGGTTTGTTCATGATGATTCAAAACTTGATACACCATACCCCCATAGTCTATGTGCTTTAATGATGATTAGTTTCATTTTTAGGCGATGGTCAGCCAAATGCTTGATGTACCCAAAAACCGTGTTAAATGCCACGTGAAAAGATTGGGTGGAGGATTTGGAGGAAAGGCTCAATGTACTGAGCAATTCCCCTTAATTAGTGCTTTGGCAGCTACCAGGTTAGCACAACTGATTTGAATGTCTCACTGCGCATGACCGGAAATCACTAGTCATGTACAAGTAAATTAACAATCACAACAGAAAAAGTAAAATAAATCATGAGGTTAACAAAACCCTTTATCCCATTTGATGGAGGTTCCTTGAATGTATTCATATGTGCTGTTCATAATTTAAGATTCAACAGGCCAGCACGACTCACTCTTGATCGTGAAACAGACATGAGAACAACTGGTAAAAGGAACAGAGCACATGCGAAGTACACGGTACATGTGTTTAAAAAGATATATTTCAACTGTATAACTGTATGAATAGCAAATAACTACATGAATTCTCAACGTGGCACCAAGTATTCTTTGCAAAACTATTCTCGTATTTTTACAGATGTCTGCAAATCAGAAAGAGAATCATGTAATTTACAACTAGTTCAAAATACCTTATCTTGTATCTTATTTCGTGTTCCATGAATCATAATCATAATCTAATCCAATATCTTATATTTCCTAAATTTTAACATTATTCTCGAATAGGTTGGGTGCACTAAGAGAGGCAAGATACTGGCACATGAAGTTGAGCTTTACATTGATGGTGGCTTTTTGGACACATTGACTGCACCGGTAAGTTGAATACATCAGCTACCTACTAGTTGAGTACATAAATGTAAGTTTAGTACTACTGTTTTATATATCCTGAATTAAGTTACATTTTGTATTGTCGCTAAGATTAAGATTGTCGCTCATAGTTATTTACACAAAACTATACTTTTGTAAACTAGCGGAATAGAAAAACAAATGAAGAAGTTGTCTCTAAGTTATCTACAACTTCTTTGCTAACTTGGAATTTTATTAAAATTAAAAAAATTTCGTCAGCAAACAATTATTTATCGTTGAAAATTATCCTAACTCAAATCGCTATATTTCCGGATTCCAAATCTACAACCATATGACATATTACAATTACAGTTCATGCCATTCTCATTGTTAATTGCGGTGTGTGATCAGGGGTATGCATTCAATAATGTGAAAGTTACGGGCTATACCTGTGAAACCAACACCAATCCTGGGGTACCAATGCGAGGGTCTATTTACATACAACCGCTCATCTTGACACAAGCCCTGATTAATGATGTTGCCAGTAGGCTTGGGTTACCAATTGAACAAGTGAGTCTAAAACTGATTAGTACTTTGAAATGACACGAGGAAAACATAATGTCCCAAAACTTAAACATTCCTTTGATAGTCTGTGGTAGGGAGGTCTACTTTACCATTTTGTATCTGCTTGACCTTCAAATTAATGATAAATTCATATCCATATTTATTATGCATTCTTTTTTCTTGAAGGTACACAAAGTGAACATGCTGCAAATTGGTGACTTGGCACCTCTTGGACGTGAACTACCTGACGTACATACCATGCATAAATGTTGGCAGAGATGCCTAGAAAGTAGCAGATATATGGAGAAAAGGAAAATGGTCGAAGAATACAATCGGTGATTATTGTGATATCATACTTAGCCTTTATGTAAACACCTGCGGTGATAGCACAAACTGTAAATAAAGTTTAGATCCAAGTTACAGAATGTATCCCCTTTGTATATAAAAAGATGCACTGTCCTGTATCAATCATAACATTTTAATATTTTATACAATCATATTAAACTTTTGGAGGTATACATATTGTGAACAACTGGCAAAAATCTTATAAGATGAGATAGTATTTTAAAAAAAGTCAGCAATGGTTAAAAACATTGTCTCACAAACTCAACAATGTGACTTTTTTCTTTCGTCATGAATTACAATCTGTGATTATACGAGATGCAATTACATTTTCCTTTTTGACAAGGTCATCATTTTCTATATGTAAAACGCGTCTTATTATCTTAAAGTCTGTCTAAAAATGTTCATAACTGACAGGTCTGTAATAAATATTAAACAATGATGAGAGACCTCTGAATCCTAAGTATATTACCTCAAATTCTATCCTAAAAATGGTTGTTACCAGTCAGAATTTTATTCTATTAACTGATATGTTTCACAAATTGAAAACTTTTTGAAATGGAGCATGCTCTAAACTAACAATTTACTTACTCGTCTCTCAAGACCCCCTCAAATGAAATTGTAAAATTGCGCAGCCTAGTTTGAAAGTCTGAATTAACTAACTCATTTTGTGGTTTGAACACATTGCTAGATATTGATTTTCTCATATACATGACGTCAATATTTGGTAAAATGTTCTCAAAGTATACATGCGTTGAACCTCTGAATGTTTTGTATGATAATAGAGGAGAAACATATGATTGATAAATCACCGTGCAGGGGGTATTTAATTTGAAAATGATTTGGTAAAACTCATCACTATCCTATCTTGATCGGAAGTGACATACTAATATTGTGAGAAAGGAGTTAGGACCAAATCCTATGCTAAGGATTTGTGTGAAAAAGATGCTTCACCTTGGCGGTAATCGAACCCACAATATTAGCTTGATATGTATTTTTATATACTTATTTCATTTTTTATTCGAGGGGTTCTTTTGCAGTATTGCAAAATCATAAGGTGCAACAACGTTTACTTTAAAAAATTCAACAACTAATATTGTGAAAAATCAAAAAAATCAACAACTTTGTTAATAGTAACGTTTACTTAGTCTATCAAGTAATGGTATATTATATGGAAATACTTATTTTTAGGAAATCAAAGTGGAGCAAACGGGGCTTGTATATAATTCCTACAACGAGAGATTCACTTCCACCATTATATGGATTGTGTCAGGTGTGTCTCGCATGATTATTGTTTGGAAATGTAATGATGTCTATGTAACATACAAAGTGCATTCCTCTTTCGCCAAAATGGCTTTACGTAACTAGGCAATAACTATCCACAGATATTCAGTTTTTAATTGTATGTAATGTATCCTATTTTACCTGATCAAACATTTTTTCAATTAACTGAATTAAAGTTGTACTAAAACCAATTTCGGAATCTCTTTTTATCTTGCATTTAGCACAAATAACAGCCTTTTTGTTAGTTTGACTCCAAAGCTTAAGATATTTCCCCACACAACACGATTTATTAAGATAAGACTGCCAACCTCTAAAATGTTGTTATTTTGCGCACTTTTTGATGTCACCTGACAATGACAGGTTTGACGCACCGTGTGTAATCATGCAATAATTGGCTCAGCATAAGAGTGAATAACTCGTTTTTTGAAAGCCATGGTTTCATTATTTGTATTTACAAAATCGTATTTCGCTGCAAATTGTTTCAATTTGCAACCACACACGTCATGTCACGTGACATAAAATTTCAGCTCTGAAAATGAAATAAAGGTTTGCCGCCAAAACAGACAGGTGCTGATTTTATATCCCTGATATCATCATAAAATAAAAATTTGGAATTGTTGATGGTTTAACATCGTAAAGTGTGGCCTCCATACGGTATGATACCATAAATATATCTAAATCGAGTAAAATGGTTTGAGTACTGTACAACTTTAATAGTAATCAATATATGATTTAATTAATATGATAATAATTAATGCAAAATGAAATATGCTCTGGTAACAAGAGATTATTAACAAAAGATTATATTCATCCTTTGCTTATAAGCCCCGAAATTTGAAAATAATTTTGTACTTTGAAATGCAAATTTTGATTTAATTTATATCTAAGGGTGGAGCTCTGGTGAACATTTACACCGACGGCTCTGTTTGGGTTAACCATGGCGGAGTTGAAATGGGACAAGGACTCCATACGAAACTAATACAGGTACATTCCATTCCATTCTCATTGGTGTCGAAATTTTATACTGTTGATTTTACATTGATTTTATCTACTATTTTTGTGTTTTAGATTGCTAGTAAAGTTCTAAAGGTTCCACAGGATGTCATCCATATAACGGAAACAACCACGAACTGTGTTCCAAACGCACCTATGACTGCGGGAAGTATGGGTTCTGATGTGTTTGGGATGGCAGTTAAGGTAATAGGAATGTTAAATGTTGTGTTTTAAAGATCCTATGTAGAGTTTGAAAATATGTTTAATCATTAATTTACTATTTATCCTGATTGTGAAAGTTAATTAAGAGGATAAAAATTTTAGGGAGATAAGTTGGTAAGATATATCCCGTATCCTGATTTTGGATTTCCATATCCAGAACCTCCATATCTCCCGCTTCGGTGCATATCTTCCCGCTTCCGGTGCATATCTTCCCGCTTCCGGTAATGCAATAAAATGACTTTGCATATGAATGATTTGTTTATTTTTACACTTTGTACTATTGAAATGGCCATATGCCCCTGAAAACTCTACTTGGCATAGGATAAAGCAGTTTTGTACGGTCGGTTTGGACCCTACGGTCCCTCAGGTAGATATGCATATCTCCCTCTGGATTAACCCCATATCCAAAACCTCCCAGTACGTAACCCTTATATATTTCCTTCGAAATGACGTTATTGTACTATTGCTATATAACAGGACAAACCATATTAAGGATACACAGTACTACGAAAGATTGTCTGTTAATAATAATGCAACATTAATTTGTTAGTTATTTGAGTAAGATCATGATCATTAGTCTATATCACTTGCTTTCAGAATGCCTGTGAGAAATTAATGAAGAGACTCGGCCCATATAAGGCAGAAAATCAAAACGGACAATGGAAAGATTGGGTAAGGTCAAGGAGGACTGGCTCCCAGGATCGAAACTCGATATTGCCCAACAATGAAAACGTCGAAATGTCGTTATTTTCTAAAGTTTAAACCGACTATAGATTCAAAATAAATTTTGTATATAAACAATTCAAAAGATTCGAACCAATATCTCGATCATTTCTTGTGAGTTTTGGAATTCTTTGTTAGGAAATAAGACCAAATGTTGAAATGAACAAAATGGCGGCTGTTTGAATTCGGATTTTCTATCACGACATGCCCATATAATGGAAAGAATGTCGATGTTGCACTCTTGGAACCAATCTTCTTTGGGAAAGGAATTAGTCCAGGCCATTGTTCAAATACTCTTTGTAACATTCTTATTCTTCAAAATAACAGAATTGTTCATTATGTAATCTTATTTGGTGACCATGTTAAATCTAAATAAAAATGGCAAGTTACATTTTTACATGACCTACATGTATGTGCAGCTCTAAGCCGAGCTACACTGTCAATACTTGTTTTTTCTACCGAAGGTTCTTGCAGCATACAATGATTGTACGAGCCTCTCTGCAACAGGGTTTTACTTCCACCCTAAGGAGAACCACTGGGATTTGGAAAAGCCACGTGAGGGCAACTTCAGCAAGTATTACTTATATGGGGCTGCAGCTGTTGAGGTTGAGGTAGACTGCCTCACTGGAGCACACCGTGTCAGTAATATTTTGTCGAAAAATTTTACATTTTGAGTTTGCAGGAATGATAAAAGTACTTGTGCGGTTCTCGTCTTTACGATAAGGCTGTTTAATTTTGATTCTTACAAGCTCGACAAATTACTCAATTCTGTGGAAGGACTTTATTTCCTTCTGTCATTTTTGCGTTGGATCTTGTGATAGTTTGAAGAGATTTTCCATGGAAACTAGAAGAATACTGTCAGTCCACGTCTAAGTGTGATACTTTGAAGCCATAATGCGATTTTCGCTCATTTGTTTGACCATTAAATAGACTATATATGAAAATATGTAAAAAATCATTGTTTTTGGAATGTATACAAATACTCATATATTTCATGGGTCCTGTAAATGATGACATCATTCTCGATCTCATGCATTCATTTTTATGTTGTACGCATACAGGTGATACAAGTCGATGGTGTGATGGACTTTGGTAGAAGTTTGAACCCTACCATAGATATAGGCCAGATGGAGGGAGCCTTCATTATGGTAGGATATTATGAATAATATCATATAATTTTAATTTGTGACTAAAGGTATAGTTATCCAGATTTCGATTTGTCGTTCACTGTTTTTTTTTTTTTTAATGGGTAGAATAAAGTAAAAATTATGAGATCTAAATGTATATTCAAAGGTTAATATGTATAATATCCATTTACTCAGTTTTAAAAGGAATAGGGACAATATGAAATTGTTGATATATCTAGTTTATGTGATACATGTGTTCTGAAATTGTGTAGGGATATGGATGTTTTGTATCAGAACAAGTAGTATACGATAATAAGGGTAAATTGCTTACAAAGGACGCAACTACATACAAGATTCCTGGTGTCAGAGATATACCCACTAAGTTCAACATGCAGATTTTAGCAAGTCATAGTGACGAGGCAGTTCTCTATGGATCTAAGGTATTAATCTAAATATTCAGGTCACATTAGTATACGTAAAAATACGATTGTTATATACCCAATATTACTAACGTACACTTCATTACTATGTCATTGAAGTTAAAAAAGTACAAATATCAAGATATGACAACAATGTTACAAAGGTACAATGCAATGTTACGAAGGTACGATTCATATGCCACAGTAGTTACAAAATACAATTCATATGACAAGAATGTTACTCACGTACAATTCAAAGTTACAAAAGTACCATTCATCTGACAACAGTGTTAGGCCTACAAAAGATTATAATCCATATGACCAACAATATTAAAAATTACAATCAATATGCACCTAACGTTAAAAAATACAATTCAATTGACCTAAATATTACAAAAGTGCAATGAATGAATGTATGTCCTCAATGTAAGTAACAAAAATAAGGTTCATGTGACCCAAATGGAATATTGTTTTAACTTGAGAATAAGCAACATTGTTATCCTAGTTTCAATTATAGTTGTATTAAGCAATAGTGCTCTCATGTTTGTACCTGCGCATGTGCTAAGAAATACAAGAAATATCAATGTAAAAGTTTTTGTGTTATCTAGCATTTATTCGATGCATCCCTGTAGATAATCCAACAAATATGATGACATTCTGTGTGTAATTGGCATGTATATATATCACCGAGTGTAAGAAGAATGTTTGTTTTAAATTGCAGGCTGTTGGGGAGCCCCCTCTACACATGAGTATTGCTGCAATGTTTGCCATTAAGGATGCCATAGCAGCAGCTCGTAAAGATGCAGGAATAGAGGGACCTTTCCAACTTAACTGTCCAGCTAATGCAGAGCAGATTCACACACTATGCTCAACCAAAATAAATATTTAAAACAGGTGTAAAAGGGTAGGAGGTCCTACCAAATTATTGTCCTACTCTCCATTGATTTATATGGTGACCTAATAACAACTCTCCCTTATTATCCTATACACAATCAGAGCCAGTATAAGGGCCGTTAGGAAAGGGGACCATAATCCATGGGGGACCATCATTTCTTTCAAACCGGTCTTGTTGGGAGCAACGTTTCCAAAAAACGTATTATTTAATATTTTGGGCTCATGTAATTCCTTGCCATATGAATTGAGAAAATCTCTATAAATTCACACTTTCTATTCGATGAAGAATACATGGGTAGGTCAACTGAAAATATTACATGCAATTCTGTCACCTTTTAGATATATGTGATCCTGCTTTAAACACTGCTTTAATAAATCCATACAAGGCCCGACTATGTGTGTATCAATATAGACGCTTTTTTGTATATACTATACGAAAAATATTTCTTCATGCAAACTGTTAGTATAAGACGAGAATTTGTAGAAATCTATACAATTATCTATATAATTTAGTTTCGGCGTTCGGCGTCTGTAACAAATTCTGTAACAATTTCTTACAACTGTACTGGTTTAGACTGACTTTTAATTTTTACTGTCAATATAAATAAACATGGTATGTTCCCTTCTGCCAACATCTGTTACCATGGCAACATATTGACATGGAAACATATTGAAGCTCAAAAAAGGTTAAAAGGTATTTTTCAACTGAATTTCAAAATCTTTTACCTGACTTTAGATTTGGGATTTGATTTGATCTTCGATTGACATTCAATGACCTTTTTAAGGTTGATTTTGCAAAGGAGTGGTATCGATATGGAGAACTTTTTGAACACACTTTTCTCTTAAACCTAAAAAATCTAAAAATTAAACACATCGTCAATTAAATGGTCATCTTTTGTTTACAATATAATTTGAAAAATATATGTATACTTTCATCTATATTGTTTTAGAAAACACATCAAACACTTGTTTTGTTCTTGGTATCATGTTTCCAGAGTGAAATGAAACATCTTTCCGAACCTCATTAGAACAAAACATGTTTAGGTCTCTCAATATTGTAATTGTACAAAGGAAATTTTGGTTGATTTTTAAAAAGTATCTTTTTAATGAAATAAAATGTTTATCTTGATTTTTATCTATTTTGGGAGGTTTTTGTTTTAATTTTTTGAATACTTTTTTAAAATCAACCAAAAATTCCTTTGTATAACTATGATATTGAGAGGTCTAAAAACGTGTGGTACCAGGTCGACCAATAAGTTCATGGAAAATATCTCTTAAATTGAGAGTTTTCACTCAAACCATGCCAAATTTGCACAGAATGTAGACAATTTATCTGATTATTTGTTCCATAAGTTGCATGAACAATAACACAATATTTTTTGATAAATGGTTGCCATGGTAACTCGTACAACACGCATGTGGTGCAGTTAAAAAACCATAATTTCCAACAAGCATGATGTGGAATTACTACTTTGAAATAACTGTCAGACCGTTTTGTTTTCCACATTGTTGCTATGGAAACAATTCCATGTATGATATCACAAATGTATACTCATTCCTATTATGACATCACAGATCGTTCCCTTAATGTCATAAAATAATTGTGACAACAAACTCTGAGAAGAAACGCAATGAAGGCCAGGTTTTCCATTAAGATAACGCACCATCGCATCAGGTAGTGCAGGATACTATCCGAGAAACATTATCTATGAGCGTCCTTGACCAAGCTCGATACTCACCTGACAAGGCTCCTCTAGATTATGGAGTCTTTGGCAAGCTGAAGGAAGAGCTCCGAGGTGTAAGATTCCATAGGGTTGATGAGCTGCATCATGCTGTCCAAGCTGCACTGAGGAAAATGTTCCCCGATGGCTTCAGAAAAGTGTACCAAGATTGGGTTAAAAGACATGAACTCTATATTCTCCACAATGGGAAATATTTTGAATATCTAATATAACTGTTACTAGAACACTTAGGTGGGTACATTTGGTATACTGTTATGAAGGCAAAATGTTAGCATAATATATAATATGATATATTATGAAATAAATGCTTTGATAAAAACATAAAGCATCGCTATTAAATGTTGCACCGCGTACCCATTTTACGGGTTACTATAGCAACCGCCAATCAATGAACACATCATGGATCAGAATGAAACTGACAGAACCTACAGTGAAATACATTTCCCAAACCTTGTGAAAATTTCATCTCTTGAGCAAATACTCACAATTTTAGAGACATTTTCTATGAACTTATTGATCGACCTGGTATATGCTATTTTGTTCCAACAAGGTTCGGAAAGACATTTTATTTCATTCTCAAGAATTGGTAGAAAGGAGCAAAAACAATTGCTCTAAAAAACAAAAAAATTTTAAGAAAAACAATTATATAAAATATTTCTAAATAATTTTCGCATCAAATTGTTGTCAATCAGTCAACATTACATGAATGTTTTCAATGGTTGGTTTAAGAGAAAAACATTGTTGAATTCAGTTCTCCATATCAATACCACTCTTTTATGTTTTGATTAAGTCAGCTAAATCTTAAAAAATCTTCTGATGTCTGAAAGGGTAACTATTGTTAACAGTGGTTAACCTGTTAACTATTGTTAACAATGGTTAATAAGCTCAAATTGGGCTGGGTAAAATTGTAATTAGTTTTTTATATTTTATTATTTATTTGTAAGACTGACCATATAAATAAATAAATAAATAAAGTAAAATTTACTATAAAACGTTGTTTATAAGTGAATTTAAATACTTATTTCGTTTAGACATAATTATTGGTAGGGAGTCATAGCGATATTGAGCATGAAACCATACTAGTACTATCTAATCCACCTTATGAGCGAAGGGAGCGGCCGCTCCCCCCGCCCCTGGTCAGAAATTCTTTCAAAATTATGCAGTTTTTCACCATTCTGAACACTTTTCGCATGATTTTTTTGCCAAAACTGTCTAAAGCTCCCCCTTGGCAAAAAACGGCAAAAACTCCCTTCCCATTGGTAAAACCGCTACCTCAGGCAAATCCTGGCTACGGGCCTGATAAGTATATGTTTTGCGAAACACCAAACTTCAATTCACTTATTAATAAGGTCAAATATAAAGTAGTTCATTCGATGAAAACTAAAAATATCGAAATAGACAATACCCGTCCGCCATCTTAGATGCGAAGGTTACGGTCGTTACCTTTGCTTGATACTGAGCAGTGATATGTGAAAAATGTGAAAAAATTATTCAATGAATTCAGTGCCCCGATTACAACGCTTACACGTATATAAGAACATTTCCATCACATTTGCAGAAAGATAAATTTCTAAGTCCCATATAGTCCACGGTATGAAAGGATCTAGTGCACCCGCCATTATGATCTCCCCATGAACAAAATGAATCATTTTAGGTGTAACATAAAGAATACAATGTCACATAATACTGTGGAAAATATTTAAGCGTTTGGACCCACATGGGCTGAGGTTGAGGTCATTAAGTTCAGCAAGGGTGTATTGACTTGCCATTGGATGTGCTCCATTGACTTAACATGTGGATATCATCAGATTCCAATGGAGGCCATTGGTTTCTATTGATTTTCACAAAAATACCTAAAATACACTATGACCTGAATCGATTGCAAATTAAATAATTTCACAATATGACACTAATGGTATATCACATCAGATGTGCAAATATAAAGTTTGCAATCGATTCAGGTCATACTTCAAATTAAAGGCTTAGACATTTTTTTCATCATTTTTTTCCTACAAAATGGCTATAGGAAAATGCTTCAAAAGCAACTTTTACACTTATGAAATCCCATACAACTTTGTAAATCCAAAGATTATACTGTTATGTTTCATTAATTAATAATATATTTGGATAAGATGTAGGGATGTGTAGGATGCAAATGGATTTTGACAGACACAAAAACACTTCCTGGTTTGGCATCTCGACCCCTGTACACTTTATGATTGAATATTGGCCCTAATAAGTGGCCCATTTATCAAAACAGTGCTGAATATAGGTCAAAAAGATACTAGTGTACATATAAATGTAATAATAAAAGCAGTATTTTTATTTTGAAAAATCAGATGAATTATTTTTTTCTCATGGGGAGATCCCAATGGAGGGTGTATAAGGTCCTTTCTAGGACGTCTAATTAAGGAGTTGGTGGCACCATATCTGCATAATGATATTTGAGCTTATATTTAGATACCTACATGTGTCCCGCGTTTTATTTTTGTATAGCCGTGATAAATACGGCGGGCTTTTAGGCCGAATAATGCATGTCATTATCAGAGGTCAAAAAACGTGTAAAACGTTTTTCGTATTTTTTTCATAATTTAAAGTACAAACATTAAAAGAAGATCACATGAAAATATTTTTAATATATACATCAAGTTTCTTGGCTATAATTTTGCGGTATGTGTTCCTTGAAATACCTTATATATAAAAAATCAAGGTTTCAACATTTCATGTCGTTTTGGAGATATTGGTGAAGCAATCAATATATTGGCACCTTTATTACCTGTGAATAACATATGGTTATAATATGTCAGTATTTTACTAAATTAGTAGTAATACATTTTGAGATATGGACAGCCGTATTCAGGGGTCAATTGCCAATAAAGGGAGACTCGTTGTTCTTCCTTGTCTAATACCGTCTGCGATTGAAAATTGTTGCATATGGTTGAACATGAATTGGTTGCTTATATAAGGACCATATCTTCAACATTTGACTACATGGATCTTTGAGAAATGTCGGCAATAATGTAAAAATGAATCGATGTAATGCATCGCAGTGACAAATATAATTGTTGTTATATTATACTGTTTGTTACACATTAATAAAAAATCAGAATTCTGAAGTAACAAAACATGAACGCACAAGTGGAAATGGAAAAGGCACAGCAACAAATGGAATGTGTTCAAGAGTATACTAATATAAGGGAATATCAAAGCATTAACATGCAAAATGCCAACGCATATTCGTTACATACACCGAACGCCGAATATGTACTGTCAATGGACTTTATGTTGGAAACTATAACAATATGTCATACCACTCTTGGTGGTGACATAAGAAACACTAGCAATCCCAAAGTCAAACGTCTATCAACCCCTCCCGACCCACGAGCTAAGTATAAACATCATTCCCAGACCATTACACCAAGTAGCACCTCATTATATTCGAGTCATTACAACACAAATTGAATAAAAATACAAATTGTGAGCCAATACTCATAACAATACTAATAGTATATTAGATATACAATATTTAGAATTTGGTCTTAATGCTTTGAGATAGATATTATAATTCGTTTAACGTTTAAAAGGGTCAGCATCCCACTGCAAACCTAAAGCCTTCAGTTTTAGCAATTTAATTGACAATGCCTAAAATAATCCCCACATCCTCCAGCATCTCGAGTACATAAACTTAAACGGTCGCAAAATCCAGAAATTATTTTACAAAAAGGAACACTGTTCATTAAACAAAACAAAATACCTCAAATAAAAATCAGTGACTATAGCATTTGGATTCACTCGCATAAACCAATCCTCTCATGAAAGCTCTTATATAGAACTAATAATTCGTTTATTAATCACAGGTAATATTGCCTAACATAATGCATTCGCAAAAAAGTAACATCTCACATGAAAAATCAAAAACATAATAGCCTCATGAATATACTCACAAACACGAATACCTCACATATAAATCGTAACTGATATAACAACTTCTTCAGTATAGTATATTCCTCGCTTATTATGTGGTACTGTATAAAATGCACTCAAAAAACCTCATACTCCACATCACGCGGTACTAACTTCGACCGTTAATTTGAATTTTTGACCTACCAGGTGCTTGAAAATCAAGGATTGCGAGTCTCATACTGCACCGTTTTTCTTCAGCAAAACAAAATTGCCTTTCTGTCGGTGCATTACTTGATTGTAAAGAGTCCCTCGTTCACGCAGCGTTTTGGTCCCCAGCTGTCGGAAGGCCTTCTTACAGCTGGGGACCAAAATGCCGCTGGAAGTAGGGTCTCTTATTAAGAGAATAATGTACCATCAGAAAGGGATTTTTGTTATGCTTTGAATGGAACAAGTTTGAAGAAAAACGGTCCAGAATGAGACTCATAATCCTTGATTTTCAAACATCCGGTAGGTCAAAAATTCAAATTAACGGTCGAAGTTAGGACCGCGTGCACATAAAAACTTGGATTAATCAAACGTTATAGGATGCGCCTCACATAAAAAAACAATATAGCATCACAGAGTGCACTATTTGAAAGGAATACCTTTTATAAAATTTCAAATATTATCACTACTACCCACCTAGTTACACAGACGTATCGTCAGTGTATCATGGCTGAACTACTTCCGGGATTTGAATTTGGTAAGATATTTTTATTTCTCGATTTACATCTACTTATAAGTCACGATGTGGATTATAATTTGGCTCGAAGTTATGGGAGATAATCTAGTTTGAGAATGTGTCGATGGTTTTAGGTTTGGTATGTTAACGAAGACGCATTTCACAGATTTAGTCCCTCGCTTTTGTTACACCGACGACCGGCATTAATATTGCCAATATTACACTGATATTGGTCGTTCGTCAGTGTAACAAAAGCGAGGGACTAAATACCTGAATTTTGCCTTTGTTAACATATAAAACCTAAAACCATCGACACATTCTCAAACAAGACTATCTTCCTTAACTTCGAGGCAAATTATTATCCACAACGTGACTTATAAGTAGGTGTAAATCGGGAAATAAAAAAATCTTACCGAAACCTAGTCCCGGAAGTAGTTCCGCCATGATATACTGACGATACGTCTGTGTAACTAGGTGGGTAGCAGTGATTATACAGAATATAGAATGAAGTTAAAAGAAACTTGTACTCCCCTAAAATAAAGTGTATGGATAGTACTCACAATTAGCAACGACCCAGGGACAATGACTACCACTCCACATAAAACATAACAATGATATTGAACTTCTTCACTACTTCTTCAGCATAGAATTTACTCAGAAATGAGTAATACATGGTATTCAAGTATAAATTAAATTACCTCCTTCATATGTGACATATAATTTCACCCAGAAACTAGTTTTTCTAGCAATACCCGATATAAAGACAAAAGAGATATAGCCTGGGAGTAGCCATTTTGTCCCAAATTCTATCCAAAATGTCATGAATATGAAAGCACGAGTGCCAAATGCGAAAGACCAAAAATGACAAAACATAGCAGGAAAATGAAATGTCTAAGATCTCATTGCCAAATGGAAAGAAAATCCAACTATCCCAAATCAATATACAACGTGAAAGGAAAATGTATCTTACAACACTCACAACAATTCGTAAAAGTGCAATTCGCATGGCTTTGGCGACATAGAGTTTGTGCACAAATGAATAATGCCTGATTTGATAAAAAGTTACAAATTATAAAATGAAGTATGGCTTCCTAAAACTCGAATGGAAAGATCGGAAACGAGAGATGCTGGATTGCTGAAAAAATTGAGAGAACCGGTCTTACAAAAAATGATTCGATGTCGTCTTTAAATATCGGAGGCTCGTCTGAAAGATTGGATGTGTGCAACACTATGAATTTCTCCCAATTCCAATTGGGACTTTGCACGCGATGGGTGAGTTGATATGATTGATAGGGTCACACCTTGGAACAACGATACATATCGTGAACACAGATGATAAAATATAGATAGTCAATGAAATAAAATATAAATGAGTACCTTTAATTTCGTATAATTCACAATCTCGCCCTGCTGAATGAAATCGTCTCTAACGGTGTCACTCCTCCATCAAGAAGGTTGGTTTCTGGTTCTTATTAATGACAGTATGGCTCTCACTTATAAATTTACATTTAGAATAGAACGAACATTTGTCAAGTTATGATCGAAACAAAAACTAAATCTTGTCTTCGCAAGGGACAGTTCAAAAAACTAAATTACTATCACAAATCTTGCTCTACTGCATCAAATCGTCCTGAATATAGTCACTCGTCAACCACGAAAGTTGATTCCTGGTTTCTTAATCAATCATTCTGGCGTTCTCATTTATAAAACAATCGATAATTAAAACTGAAATATATTATAATGCATTCAATGTTTACTTTCTTACAACTTTGCATGGTTATTTTATTGTGGGAGCACAGCATTGTGACACTAAGATATTTGCGACGCATTTGACTGCGCCTTCTTTATTCCTCGATGCAAATCATCTAGTTTAAAAATGTAAACATTCCAATACCAAAATTAGATTAATTATTTAAATGATACATCCTTTATATTTTTATTTGATTACGTTTTGAATATCATTAACAATAATCCGTTGTTTGACCCTTGAAAACGCAAGAAATATTTCCGTGAATATATTGTTTCTATAAGTACAAAACTAATATGTTACTAATTATAGATTTTCTGAATTTTTCGCATAATTTGGTCACATCTGCTCTGTCTTATTTTTTTCTAAATAATAAAACGTTGAAAAGTACCCTAGTGCAATGCACTAATTGAAAAATGACATTTACGTTAAAATAGTATTATATTTCTATGTAATCCTAATCCTTTAAATTATATATAAGTTTCGATTTACAATTTGAGTCTCATAAAATGCACTAAAATGCGCATGAAAAGTTTCACGTTTTTTGACCTCTTGTGATGACAGACATAATGCGACCCAAAAGCCTTAATATTTTTTACCAAATGGCATTTTAAAAGGACATATGCCTCTAAATATCGGTTCAAATGTCGTTATGCATATATGGTGCCACGGATTTGTAATATCTATGAGCCATACCATGGACTAATATGGCTGCTTATATGTTAGAGTACTGACCATGTTTACCACGCTAACGTGCAAAACCAGTCGTATATAGCAGCAAGCATTGTAGCCTGGGATTGTAGCAGTAATGTATGATCATCATATGTCTGCACCTGTATGGGTGCGCCGTTTACCACACTTACCACGTATAAACCGAAGTTAATTTCCACTTTGCACGATGAGAAACTTGCAAGTCCCGTGATTGCTCACATGGAACCAGAGCCTATTTGGGACTTTTTAATTGATCAATGTTAGGTTGGCCATGGCCATGGTCTCACATGCGACGCTACAACGTTCATGTTTGTTTGAATAATGACACTCTATTGTGACATGAAGACCATTGAGATGTTTGATTTACATGTTAGATAACATGATTTAAAATCAGCCCTTATTTATTGTTGAAGGATTGAGAGAACGATGGAGGGTCGTTTAACCATCGATTCAAGTGTTTTCCATTTCATGCCAAAATGAAAATAAAGCCGAACTAATGTGCGAACGGAATGGAAGTTGTAGGGACATATTATTGTCTATTTTTTAACTTTCACGAAAGAATTTGCGCCGGTAAAAATAAACGTATTTGGACGGGAATGTGCTCCAAAAGTCGAACCTTCACAACACGTTCTTCCATTTTCTGTAATTAGACGATTTCCCATTGATGACCTATGTTTTGGCACGTTCGATAACCAATTTTAAAAACAGACCTCGTTTGCCATTGAAATGGATCTCTCAGTGTTCGGTGTTGTTTTATGAGTATCTTATCCAAGTTTGGACCGAGTAACTTCAATGATATTACCGTAGTTATGAAATGATGGACGTGGAACTAAAGTTAAACTGAAATAAACGCCATTCCCACGATTTCAAATTATACATGTACTTTGCTCATGCGCGGCACTTAGAAAGCACGTGCTCGTGATTGTTCACGTGATAACATCCTACAATTTGATTGGACATAATAAACCGGGGAATCCCCGAGTACGATAGACTATGATAGTATTATGGGAGCTACTCACTTCTTCTGAGTGTAAATGTAATCTTATTTTGTTTATCATTTTATTTCTATCTCGTCAAATTCCAGGAAACCCGCTCAGCCGCACAATTTTTGCATATTCAATAGCAACCAACATCGGATTAGGTTTTGGGCAAGATTTTCTAAAATTTCATTTACCTTTTACAATTTTCGACAAACTATTTTTAAAAATGGATAGATTCTGTACTTATCGAAACCTTTGTTTATGATCGAGGGCCCTGAAACCCCAGTTTACGTGTCAAATTAACATTCTTTCATTGCTCTCAATTTGTATTTTATTTGACACAATTCGTTCGATCATGATACTGACATTTAAATTACAATAAGAGTGTTCTAGCAACGTGTTTTATTACAGGCAGTCTTTGATCATAAGGACACATTGAATTTCTGTAGCTGTTTCTCAGAATTAAGAATTATTTTCGTATCATGTTACTAACAGCTAAATGTCATGAATTAACTTCAGGCGATAAAGCTTGGCGTTGCTTGCGAAAATGGAATA